TCAAGCAATTCTCCTGCCTCAGCCTCCCAAGTAGCTGGGACTACAGGCACATACCATCATGCCCAGCTAATTTTTGTATTTTTAGTAGAGACGGGGTTTCACCTTGTTGGCCAGGATGGTCTCGATCTCTTGACCTCGTGATCCACCCGCCTTGGCCTCCCAAAGTGCTGGGATTACAGGCTTGAGCCACCGTGCCTGGCGTTTTTTTTTTGTTTTGTTTTGTTTTGTTATTATGGAGTCTCACTTTATAACCCAGGCTGGATTGCAGTGGTGCAATCTCAGCTCACTGCAACCTCTGCCTCCTGGGTTCAAGTGATTCTCCTGCCTCTGTCTCCTGAGTAGCTGGGACTACCCAGCTAATTTTTGTGATTTTAGTAGAGACAGGGTTTCACCACATTGGTCAGGCTGGTCTCGAACTCCTGACCTCAGGTGATCCACCCGCCTCAGCCTATGGATACAGATTTCCCATAGATCCCTTGCCCTCACGTAGGTACAGACTCCCCTGCTATCAACATCTAACACCAGGGTGGTACCTTTGTTACAAAATGGACCTACATTGACACATCATTGTTACCCAAAGTCCGCAGTATACGTTAGGTTTCACTCTTGGTATTGTACATTCTATGGGTTTTACTTATATAATGACAGGTATTCACCTTGCAGAATGGTTTCACTGCCCTAAAAATCCTCTGTTTCACCCATTCATCCTTCCCTTTCCCCAACCCCTGGAAACCACTGACTTTTGCTATCTCCATAGTTTTGTCTTTTCCACCATGGCATATAGTTGGAATCATACAGTATGTAGCCTTTTCAGATGGGCTTCTTTCTTGAAAGGTATTTTTTTAATGACCAGTCTAGAGGACCAGGTGAGGGTTTTGAATTTCCTGGATAATACAAAGATAACTATTACCAGTGATTGTGTTTGGTTCTTATGCATGATAGCTCCAGAAGATCAATGTTATTATCCTTGTTGGTAGAACAAGTGTTCAAGGTCACAAAGCCTGTATGGAGAGGAGCTAGTATTTGAATCCAGTGTGTCTGACTCCAGTGTTTTTATGCTTTCATCATGCCACAGTGTTTACATAATAGTAAACCTGGGTCCTGGAGCATTTGAACCCAGTCACGGGAACTGACACGGAAAAGCACACTGGCACAGCTGCATATCCTACTGCACGTCCCTCCAGTTCTTAGAAAACAGCTTCCTGATAGAGCAACAAAACAGCCACCCTGCTTGGTGCCTGCTTTCAAGCTTAGAACTTGTATTCCCAATCCTTAGGCAGGAGAGCTCAGTCAGCATACTGACTGGCAAAATTAAGTGTCTCTGGTTCAGTGTTTCTTAGCCTTTTTTGCATTATCCGTCTCCCCAGAAGCCTCTTTAGACATTTTCTTTCTAATCACTCCCCACTCCAATATCACAGACAGACTCTACATTTGCTTATGTATCATGGCTCTTTGGTGGCCCAAAAGCCATTGTAATATCTAAGGGGTTCTTTTTGCCCTTGGAGAAACTATTTTTACACCCTTGGTATACCATCCCCACTGAGAACGTGTGGTCTATGTGCAGTTGGTCAAAGCTCATGGAGGCTAACGGAGCTGAGACACCGCGGAGGTGAGGCCAGGACCCTGGAGAGTGCAAGTGGGCCTCCTGAGACCATTCCAAGGCTCCATGTTGCCTGAACATATGCTTGAAAGGGAAAGGCAGGGAGAGGCAGGGGCTAGGAAATTAGTATTAGTATTATCTTACTAGATGTTGTAGGAATCATCAGAATGTGAGGGCCTCCTAATTCTGTTTCATAAAAAGTTTTCTTGTGGGGCCAGCACTTTGTG